ATGAACGAATGAATGAATGAATGAATGAATGAATGAATGAATGAATGAATGAATGAATGAATGAATGAATGAATGACGAAAATAAATAAATAACTAAACAAATAACAATTTATTTCAACAATATAAAAAAACTTCCGAACTGTACATGTGTTTGTAAAATATTGTATCGAAGGACATAACTTTGGACATAACTATGAACAAAAAGAAATAATGTATTTCAGCAAGACGAGATATATAAATATACTGCTTACTCCGGAATTAGTCATGTAATTGTCAATCTTCTTTCATGCGTTATGGATCATTGGGTTTATTACCTGTTGACCCGAGTGTTGACCCGGTTGATTACTAGCACGTGCCATTGCTCTCAATCTTTAAAACAGAACATACTGTATTAAATTATACGCCAAGGATTAATATAGTAAGTAGGATTGGAATCTCGTGGGTTATCGTTTTAGTTTACTATATAAATCAATGATTAATTAATATTATGGGTACTGAATAATACATAGGAATATATTGTTTTAATAAAAAGCTCTATCCGGTGGTATTTTATTTATAATTTTAATACTGTCTCATCACTGGCTAAGTACAGTTTAGAAGCTCAATGCACTTAAGCGGCCTTGGTAGCATTAAGATGCACAACAGTGTGATGTAAAGCATTGTTAAGAAATATATTGCACAATACAAGCTAAGAAAATAGAAACTTCTCCAAGTTTTACCAAGTAACCCGCACCAAATTTACTATTATAAAATGCTCTAAAGTAAATTTCCAGTTTTAATACGAGGAAAGTATCAACAGATAAAGAATTGTAGCACCTGACATAAAACATACTAAATATGTGCTAATTAAATTGATAAAGTTCACAGTTGAAATATGACGGATAGTTCTCTCATTGACAATCATACCACATCTCCTTACATTTATCTTGTTAAATTTAAATTTCCAGTGCAAGTACTTTTTTTCAAAGACAAAAATCAATATCCGTACACATTTTATTTGGGATAACGACTACATTTTTTACCTGTCGGGTTAACAACATGTTAGTAATAAGTGTATAATATACATGTTTTGTAAGTAACGATGTAACGATTGCATAAAAAAAAAACAAAAAAAACAAAAAAAAAAACAATTTCCTAAATGCACGCAATTTCCGTCTATTTCAAATCTGTTTTAATACGGTAATTTCTGAGGGTAACTTTTATTATCCTTAGTAAATATCGTAAATATACATGTATAAAATGTATATCTTTAAATACAGGTTGCAGCAAATAGTGGTAACCTTTTATTTGCCGATATACAATTAATAAATAATCAAAATAAACTAACATTAATTTGAAAAATAAAACCAACGACATTTATAGACGAATAATTTTTTAAGTCCTCAACAAAACAACAACCGAAATAAATAATCAACAGATGATTTCTTTATTTATTTATTCGAAAGTTACGCTTTAAATTCTAGCAAATAATTCTCAATTTAAAATGAACCATCAATCAGAAGGGGCGTAACTCGGAGTATCATACTAGCATACTGAACGGATCTAAACACGGTGTGACAAATTTGAGAGGATTTTTTTAGGTTTGGTCTGATTTTGTCTGAAACCGTCTTAACAGACTTAAACGAACGCAAGCACAATCTGTCTTGTTTATCTTGACATAACTGAACGGATTTAAAACGGTATATCGTGACGGCGTCTGAAAGTCTAAAAAAGTCTTGACGTTTTTCTCTAGCGGTAAATCTAGTCGATTAAGACTTGATCAGAACAAAATGACCGTTTCAGACTGAAATCTTGCTACTAGTGAATGCGCGAGATTTTTATCATCCTTTTTTATATGTTGAGAATGACATATTTATGATATTCCAAAATCTCCTTTTTCGTTAAATATTTAAAATGTTGGATTCCCAAACTGGCAGTGAATTACAAGTTATTTTGTTAAAGATTCCAAATAATCATTTTTGCATATGTGTTAAGAACTCATGTGCTCTCGGGAGCTCACTGTTTTTGCATGTGCTTATGAAAGCATGAATGAACAGCCTTGATCAAACTCCACCAATGCATGGGTAAAACTCGGACGCTCCAAAAGTTTCAGATGTTCCTGCTGTACTAGTAACACCTGTGCTGTTACTCCTTTTCGAATGCGTTGATGGGCCATGTCCGGTAAGTTGAATTCAAACATATACTAGTAGTTCATTTGGAAATGTCATTTTTCAAACCTATAAACACATCACCACTAGAGTAAAAATCTAGTAAATATGAAGTGATACGTTGACAGTCGCATTCGGTATAATGTCACATCACAAAAACGGACGGTATTGTGGTTATGATAAGTGGGTCATATCCGATGTCATTTTTGACACATACATTCCATTACTGTCGATCAAATCATAATGACGTCAATAAAAGAGCGTTCGGATGGATGACTTCGAATATTCAATCAGGAACTTTTGTTTCTATAGCTTCATTTCAACATCAACGTTGACTTCTTTGACCAAATAAATTTGGCCAAGTTATTCTGTATTGGCTAGTTGACATGTTTTTATTGCGCCGGCAGTTGTTTTTAACATATAAAGTCCAATAACTGAGTAGCTCATTAATGATTTAGAACTATTGTTAGCTGCAGATGTCCCTATGACAAGGGTTACATGACATTAACCTAATTTGATGGTTTATTAATCATCATGATTTTTTATTGATACATGTTTTATCTCAATAATCAGTTGGTGGCCTTCGTTTTGCGTAATTATCTGTTTAGTTTTTGTGGACTCTTGTTTATCCTTTCGTCGGTTTTCCTTTTTTCTGTTATCTTTCACTAACTGGTTTTGATTTCCTCTTGGTACCTGCTCTCCTTTTCAATATTAACTAGATCAGCTATGAATACATTCCAAAGTGCACATTCTTGATTTGCCTTTTTATATGCTTTTCAAATGGATAATCAAACTCATAATTCCAAGGCCAAAAAAACCCCGAAAAACGATGAAATGACAAACTCTCTGTTACTTTGCTTTTTGTGTGTTGTTTGCTGTGCATGTACTGATTTGGTGTCGTGGATGTATACCCATATCCTTTGTCTTTTCTATTAAATTAACGGAGTTTGTCACTCGTGTTGTGTGGAGGCCGTAGAAAGTGTCCTCTTGCTTGTGGTGTATGCTCTTCTGTATTTTCTAAGTTATGGTGTATTTATTCTTGAGATAACTTCTTATGTGTGCAACATCATTCTGTCAATTGTAGGCCAGCTTGTGTGCAAACATTTTAATAAGAGGCACACCACCTAATCTTGCCCCCCCCCCCCCCCCCCCCCCCCCCCACCTTCTATGTCAATTTTTCTTAATTTTCAATCATTTGTGAGGGCGCGTTCTATAAACCGTTATATACACATCGAACGGTACGAGTTACCGTAATTGTGGATATACCAATTCACGTATCTGAGATACAGTCATAAAAGAGGGACGAAAGATACCAGAGGGACAGTCAAACTCATAGATCGAAAACAAACTGACAACGCCATGGCCAAAATTAAAAGACAAACAGACAAATAATAGTACAGATGACACAACATAGAAAACAAAAGACTAAACAACTCGAACCCCATCAAAAACTTGGGGTGATCTCAGGTGCTCCGGAAGGGTAAGCAGATCCTGCTCCACATTTGGCACCCGTCGTGTTGCTTATGCTATTACAAATCCTGTAAATAGTCTAATTCGGTAAGTCACATTCGTGAAAAGGGAGGGTTTTGTAGTTACGACATAAGGAACATATCCGATATCATCTGTGAAACGGTTATTCCATAACGGTCAACCAACTCGTGATGGCGTCCGTAAAATTTACGAAGGGATGACTTCAACTTCACCATTTTGAACTCTTGGTTTAATAGCTTCCTTGTGAGCAGCAATCCTCTATCAATGAAATCATGATAGGAAACACAAGCCCGGGAATATCGTATCAATTGGGAGATATATACTCCGTAATATGCCCTCATTTTAAAGATCTATTCATTCTTTTTTGTTTTATTCAAAATTATCAGTCAAAAGGTGTTCTTCAAGGATCACCAGTCTTTCACGTTTCATTTGATACCTAAATTACCAAAATAAAGCGCTGTTTCTTAACTTTTTGTATGTTTTTGCTGTGCATATACTGATTTTGTGTCATAGATGAACATCCCATATCCTTTGTTTTTCTATAACAGTATACAAATCACAACACAGAAAACTAAAGACTGAGCAACACCAACCAAAACAAAAACAAGGGGTGATCTCAGATAATTCGAAAAGGTACGTTTTACAGTTTGCTAATTATAATCCATTAAATTTACAAATAATAAAATAAAATGGTATATTGTTCGTAATTATAGCATCTTACAAACTTCTACTGGATGTAGTGTAACCATGGTAATCAGAAATCTATATTTTACTTTTATAAAGCTATTTGCAGAAACAAAACCATTTCAATATATTGGTTTTATCATCAACATAACTTTGATAATAATTTTAAGTGTTCTCAGTACGTGCGAAAGTTTCAAGGACGCTCTTAAACAATGGAGATGTCTTACAATAGTTGTTATGTAATTTCAACTTAATCATAATCTGATTATAAGAGGATGGTGAGAGGTTAGATTCATGCATCATGTTAGACACTTCTATTATGTGTCTGCACAAGATACGATCAGAAATACTTATAATATTCAATGTCTTGAGTGCAATATACTATTTATCCTCCTTTCAAGTCATAAACCTATCTCCGGTTCATTTTGAAACAGACAATTTTATCTTCTACGTGTATGTGAAATTTAGAATAATCGTTTACAAGCAGATGTTTTTGAAATGGAATTTAAGGTAGTAGTGATATTATCTTTTTTTTTATGTATCTGCAACGGTAATGTGTTTGGTCCTAGTACACAAAGTTCTGTGGAGGCGGACAAAACGGAGACGGGAATCACATTCATACAATCAGACATTAATGGTTTGAAAGACGATATGCATGAGCTTCTTAAAATGGTATTTAGTAACGAAAACGAAATTTTATTACTTAAAAGAGAAAATCAGTATCTAAAAAATGAACTTGAAAACAAAAGGCGGCAATTTTCATGCGAAATCAACGTGTTCACGAAAACACTAACAAGCATCAACGAGCATTGAATGTTACTAACACGGATATTGATCACCTTTGGTCTTCATTTAATGAAACAATAGAAAAACTGACGAATGGTGTCGACAAGTTAGAAGAGTTTGAAAGGCGAAGGTCTGAGGATAACATTACAGAATATATTGACAAATCAGGTATGTTCGTCATGCATGTTATAAATTTGTAGGCTAGCATGATGAAATGATGTGCTTTAAATAATCATAGATTGCAGATGATACTACATCATGGTATTTCTGATGAAGTGCATTTCAAAAATTCAAATCTTTACCTCCTATGCAAAGGCCAACGTGAGGATTTACTCAGTGAGGCAAAACGTCCCTGCTGCATACTGATTTTTTGTTACTTCATGTAATGGATACCATTATTTTTCGTAATAGCTTTTAACACTTGTCCAATGTCTGCTTCGTGTCGAGCAGAGATAAGGATCGAAGCTTTTTTTTTCAAATTCTCACAAAAGACGCAGCACTGACAGAAAGGCGTACTAATTCAGGTTTGTATTGCGTTTTGTAAAGAAAATCAGTTATAAGTATATGCGGAAAAAACTTATTATTTTGTTTTATAAGAATGAAAAGATGACAAAAACATTTCTTAAAAACGCAGACCAATTTAATGAATAACGCTGTTAGGTTGAAATGGCAGTTTCTATAGGATTCTAGATCTACGCTGATAGTTTTAATATATATGTAAATAGTTCAAAGTGTATCTGTCTAGTTTTTTACTCTTATAAATGCAAAATTGTTTTTGAGATGTACTTGAGATTGCACATAAAAACAAAAGATTCTGAGCATTTTTTTCAATTTCTAAAATGTATGATTTACATATTTTCGGAAGGAACTACACAAAATAGAATTTAATTTGCATTGGAATAATTTATATCTTTTATTCTGATTTTGATCTGAACTTTTTGGGGGGTTTCCCTATACAAATCAAGGACTTAGTCATTGTTTATCTGGTCGTACTAACTTTGTATTTTCAACAACACATTAGAATTATTTAAAGTATTCTGGGTTTTTTCTAACCTGATTTAGTTTTTGTTTTCTCTCAAAACATGTTTTGGTCTCTAGTATTGCTTTATCTACGAAAACACCGGTTCCCCAACTCCTCCTAAACCCACTTTTAGAATGTATTGAAACTTTCACATACCTTAATCATATAATGGCACTTTTATATCTTTATATCGTATAGTTCATGTTTTTTTATCGAAATTCAGAGCTTGGCATAGGTGGGTGTATTCTTTTGTGAACTAAAAACCTCTAGTTTATATTAAAATTTAATATGATATTTCAGGGACATACGTTTTAATGTCTCTTGAAATATATGGGGTTCTTTCAACCAAGGACACACATTTTGCCCTAGTATGAAATACATGAAATATTTATGCATTTAAAATTCAAAAAGAGAAATTATTTTTCGAAATGGCAATTTTTAGTATTGAATTTTTTGGATCCGTTTTTTAAATTTTTGTAAGCTGGTTGGAATGTTTTTGCAAAGCAATTCTAAGCACTTATCTATAAGCATTTAAAATACATATGTGCTTGTCCAAAAATTTGACCTTCGTCGGTGGTATAGTACTGATCAGCAAGAAAAATTAAAATAGCATGCATGGGAAATAATTGAACATATAGTAGTTAATCAGCAAAAATGATTTGAGTGATAGAAAATCCAACATTGTTTAGTTAGCAATATACAGTTAGGAAAAAAATGTTACCCTGATAAATTTTATCATCCCCTTTTCCTTGCTTTCTTACAAATTAAGCCTACTGTTTGTGTCATATATGTGCATATGTATGTAATCAGTACCTTCCAAAGATTTGATTTCCAGTAGTTAAAATGGTTAAATAAAATTTCTTTTAGGTGTATCCATGTCAACAATCTGTTTTTTATTGCTATAAAATATTGCAAAAAGGGGCGTAAAGATGTCACATATTTCCACAGAATTTGGCCAAAAGTAGAGTTTCAATCCCTTGGAGTGATACCTTTTCTGAAACTGTTTACATTATCTATCAACAGATCAAATAAAAGTCATATGTCATTCGTCTCATTTTTTTTGTAAAATTGCGTCTAGAAGTTCGTGTGAAAAAAGTGTTTGTAAACATTACAATAATTTATGGACCTATGGCCGGTCTGGCTATAAAAATATCGACAGTCAAACAGAAAACAACCCATAAAACATGTCAAAATAATCTTGATGTTCTTATCAACCCACTTTGACGGCTAAATTAGTCATCAGCTGTCTAAAAATGAATTTGATTGCACAATAACTTTCATATTTGAAAAATCCTAAATGGCCAAAATGAGAAACTACACTCCTAACTGTGTGTTGCTACCTTACTTTACTGTTCCGACACTGGGCCACAATGGTACCCACTTTCCAGTGTTGATGATATCTCATCAAAGATTCCGGGCTTATGATTTGTGATACCCAGTGTTCACGTTGCACGTAAGAATTAACGCACAAAAATACAGATTCTTTATCTTATTCTATAATTCAATTCAGGTATTAAGGCTGTAAACTTTATTTTTGAGTTGTCTGAATTTGTGGAATAACATATGTATATCAGTTTTTGAAAGTAGTTGCGAATATAATGGTGAAAATAAGGTATTTGTAAAATTGATATTTCTTTTTACAACAATATTCAAATGAAAAAGGACCCAGAGAGACAAATAACTCGAAAAAGAAAAACACTTTGCAGAAAACGAAAATTTAGTAACATATACCCCTCAAGACAGGGCCTGAACGGGATTAATCGACAGTTTATACTTCGCAAGTGACGCCAGTGTTTTTGCCAATTTTGTTTTAAATTCGTTAACGTTATACACAGTTAACCGTTTTCCCTAGGTATTTATCTAGGGATAATACGTTTCAAAATTACTTCGTTTTGTGAAAAGACATTTGTCTTATATCTTTTCATCACTGCCCGTGCATGTTTTGATGTGGTTTATGAAGATCATTTTACAGTTCAAATTTCACTATTTTCACTATGGTTTAAGGATGCTTTACGCATTGTTAATGCAACTGTAACTACGTCACCAGTCTCTACAAAATGTAGGTTAACCTGAGGGTAGTAAACATTCATTTACGTTAATCATATAGAAATGAACACCACTAGTTCCAGCTCTAAAACTTCAATCGCAAATTACAGTTAAGACAGTTCGCAACAACTATTTATGTTTTGACATTATGTCTTCACTATCATGTTTTAGACACTTCATGCAGCAGTTCACCTTGTTTGAATGGTGGAATATGCACAACGACCGGAAGCAGTTATAATTGTTCCTGTCTGCCTGAATATATTGGATACATGTGTCAAGGTTTTTAACGTTTGAAATATTCTACCATTGAACATATATTCATTAAGAAATTTCATATTGATTAAAAATTATCTGAGATTTAAGAAAAAAAAAAGTCCGATTACAGACAATTTAGTCAAATGACACAATGTTGCAAATTATTCATAGCAAAAGGTCATACTTTATATTATATGAAGAACAAGGTAAAAGTGATAAGTGACAAATACGCATGTTAAAAAATGCCTCGTGCATTTCCCGACAATTTCATAAATTGATAAAAAATTAATCATTACATAAATGTCATACCCTATCGGCGAAATATAAAGACAGATATAAGCGTCTGTTAAAGAGTACCACTGAAAAGTTATGTGCTTGTTAAATTTCGAGAATATCCGGTGTTTTGTTGTTCTTAAGTTAAACCTCAAAATGACAACAAATACTATGTAGCTAATAAATAGCATAATCGAGAAAGACAATTAACTCATGAACAAGGACAAAAAGTAAGGACGAACAGAAAACATAGACCTACAGAACACAAAAAAAGTAATATTGAGTAACACAAACCACATTGTGTTGCTCTGGAAGTTTCCTGCTTCATTACCGATATCCGTCATCTTGATTTCAAAAAAATCCTGTAACGTTAAAATACTGTTTTTCCTGTTGATAAGTTTTTATGAAGGTCTCCAAAAAAATCATTACATTTTTGTCCGATCTTGTGAACACAAATATGCTTTATGCACGTGTATCATTTTTTTATTGTTAATGTAGTGTATTTTACAGTACAAATGTCATGTAAAGATGGTTGGAAAAGGGATGCAAACAACTGTAACTACTTCAGTACTACCTCTGCAACTTGGTTTGATGCCAAGGTAGTAAACATTCATTTACATTGATTATGTACAAGCAACAATTTTTAATCCATAATTTTCACATTTTCATGGGAAACAAAGTCCTGAAGGTTTAGTGCACATCTGCATTCATAACTTCTTCTTTAAGCGATAATGCTACTTAAGGTTGTTGGCTGCCATGGGTTTTTTTGGTAAGAAATATTGAATGGACAATGCCAATGACTAAGCTATAAGATATCTACTTCTGGAAAATAAACATCTCGTTGTCATCATAGATGTTCAGCGATAAGCAAACAGACAAACATTCAAACAAATTCTTTATTGCCAATTTGGGCGCCCCTAGCGACAATGTTTTACAAAGGCATCACACAAAAGTGTAAACAAATATATGAAACAAAATATTCCTTCATTTTCCGCTTTATTAATGGATATCAATTTTATTTTTAATTGCAATAAACGTGATCTACGTATAACTGGTAACTTATTAGTCTTTGATTTCGTTACCACAAATTACCTAAAATTTGTACTAAATTCTTTCATAGATACACAGATTGTATTTTGAAGTTTGTAGGTTTCTTTTAAAAAAATGGGTTATCACATCCAATATTTTATGGTAATGTTGTTTATTACGCCCATAAATTTAAATACGATCCATGTAAACGTATTGATCCTTCGAAACACATGTTCTTAAAGGATATCAATTTGACATCGTAGTAAACTCATTAAAGATTGTTTTATCGCTACAAACATTAATTTTATTTTTGACAAATTAGAAATCATCTATGAAAAGTTATGGTCATTTATCCAATCGATATTATGTATTCGAAATTTTGACATTTCACAAGTTCATTCTTTCTCAGACTGTTTTTGACGGTTTTACACTTAATCTGTTGGATTTAAAAGAACTTGATTTTTTGTACTTTGAACTAGCGTTTAGTAACTGCAAATACTGTTTCACCAGTGTCCCTGGTTAGATCGGGGGTTGTGTGCTCACAAACATGTTTAACCCCGCCACATTATGTATGTGACTGTCCAAAGTAAGGAAACTGAATTTTAGTGGTTGACGTTGGCTGCTGTCGGTTATATCTGTTTTTCGTGTATTGTTTTGCCGTTGGTTTGTTCTTTGAATTGTTTGAAATTGTGTCAAATCGGGCCTTTTTATAGCTGAATATACGACATGGGTTTTGCTCATTGTTGAAGGCCGTGTGGTGACTTATCATTGTTTAAATCCACCTCTCTGTTGAATAGTTGCCTCATTTGGCAGTCGTACCACAACTCCTTATTTATCATATTTAACTCCGAAAAGACAAAAGTGAAATCGGTCTACAAAGTAAAATAACAAAAATACCGAGCTCCAAGGAAAATTCAAAACGGAATATCCCTTATCAAATGGCAAAAGCTCAAACACATCAAACGAATGGAAAACAACTGTTCTATTCCTGACTTGGTACAGGTATTTCCTTATGTAGAAAATGGTGGATTAAACCTGGTTTTATAGCTAGGAATGAAAGTTTTAGTGTCTAAAATGGATGTTTTATAGTGATTCTAAACAATATTCCCACATTTAAAAAAAGACGTAAAGACATATATATTTGAGAGGGCATGGTGTCTTAAAGCAAGCTCAAAGTGCATAACTTTTACAATGAAATGCCATCCAAGACTGTAATAATGGTAACGTTATTCCCAAAACACATAGATCTTTCATTAAAAATGTCGAAGAAGATTTAATTAGCTTTGTTTCAAATAAGGTATATAACCAATCAATCTTAGAATAATACAATGCCCATTGTAAATAAAAATAATACCTTATAAATTCCGTGCTTTTTAATTGATCGTCTTGAATAACCTTCACCAAGAACGCTAAAACCTAAATATTGAAAGCCGAGGATGAATAAGTACGTGAGTACGTGAGAAGCTGTATGACCTGAAAGTTAAAGGAAATTTGTGTACAGCATAAAACAATGTAAAGTTTGTATTAGCCATCGGCGATTCTAAAATCATATTTGCTGTTCTGGCCCGTTTTTTTTGGGAAAATGATCCCTCATGTAATGATAGCATAAATGAAAGCAAACGTTTAGCAAATACAACAACGATGCTTGAGATGATTAAAAGCTTAGTCGATTCTTTCTAAAGGGTTGATTCCATTAAAAGATAAACACCTAAATTAAAAGAAATGTCTTTGTAAATATGCATTTTTTCCCTCGATTCATCATGGCCTGTTACTAGTTTGCGATTGAAAAAAAGAGTCTAAAACACAGGGAGTGGCATCAAAACAGAGTCAAACTCGTTTTGTGAAAACTCTCAATAAAGAAAAATAAACAAGAAATATTATTTAAAAAGATTTTCGACTCATTTTGATTGGATTATATTTTTAAAACTTTCAATTATATGATCTTTTGTTGAAATCAAATTGCTCCAAAATAAAACATTATGCAGTAACATACAATATGTGACACATAACAACTTGAAATAAATCGGTTTAATCCGGCAGTAAAAACAATGTTTACATTTTTATATTTGTAATGCCACAGTGAAATATCTACATGAATTTTATAAATGCTACTTGAAAATATACTTATTCATCTATGTAATTGCTAAATTGCATACAAAATACTTATGGATATTTATTCAATAATCTTTTTTTAATTCTAATTAGAAGTCTTGAAATGAGCTGTGTTTTAAATTTAGATATTGACTTATAGTTTTATAAAACAGAAATATAACACACAACATCATATGTCACAAATTCTTTAGAAAATCAACAAACACAAAGGACAACGTTTGCAAGCTGTCCGATGAACATGTAATGCAGAACACCAAAATAAAAAACAATATTTTACTTGAAATTTTCATAACATAATTGTATTTTAATTTCAATTAAGACAAATCTGATATACACAAAACAACATATGTTTTTATGCTAAAAATTAACGTATTTAACGTGCTTCTGTTTTTATATTTTAATGATTAATGATACTTAAAAGTGATCTTCATCCCATTGCCTGACACTTTTGGATATGTCTTCCATAAAGTTTAAAAAATGGGAACGATATTGTTTATTAATGAATGACGTTTTTGTGTGTAATACGATGTTCAAAATACACAACATCATCAAAGATCAAATACATAATTCAAACATTTATCACTGAACTGCCATGTTTTCTAATTGGCTGGGTGATTTGTGTTTCCAAATAATCAATCGGTAATTTTGATATGCATCTACAATATAAGAGCAACAATGAGTACATACTCAAGGGGAAACTAATTGGGCTCGACACACATTAATGACTTATACTTGCAATAAATGGAATGTAGCTCAGGGAAAGACATTTGCCTTGTAATATGCTACCAACGGATTCTTCAAAGTAATTTTGCAAGTATTCTTTTACCAGGTCATCGGATTTAACATCCAAATTCCAAAAAAGAAGCAACCGAACACTTATACATCGAACATAAGGGACGTTTACTCAGTACGGGTCTTATAGACGTTTTTAACCTTTTTGGGTATTAAGCAGTATTATCTCGGAATGACCCTAAATATGCCTCTGAATAATCTTCTGACGTCATTCAACAATCATTTGTTTTTAATTATGACGTAAAATGTTTTAATTTGTGATGCACTATTTTGCGGGAACTTGTGTTTTAAAACTATGGCAGACAAATTTGCATGCATAATGCATATGTTAATAAGTCCCTTACTGAACGTGATAAGTTCAGGTGCTCATATTCTGTTACCTCCGTCGAACCAATTTATGGACACACGGTGCGAATAAATCCAACAAAAGCTACTTAAGATATTCCAAAAACACCACCTTCCAAAAAGTCCCTTAAAAACCTAATAATAAAAACAAAGTAAACAATCGACGTGTTTTATCTGCTATGCATTTATTTTAATAAAAAACTTCAGCTGCCAAAAGTTTGCAAGCAAATCCATAAAACAATATCTTACCCAGGTGCTGTTGACTGATATATTATTATAGAAACCTTAATTTTACACAAAACGAAATACTGTTTAATATAATCTGACCTTTACCGTGGCTGTTTAAGACTAAGACTAATTTACTAGTGGATTGATATTTTACCTTATTTTAAGACTTTTTTTCATTATACATATATCCTTTTTTTCTTTCAGAGAAAGTGTTTAGAACAAAATAGTAGGCTTGCAGACGCAACATCAATTAGTGAGATTAAATTTCTTCAGACAAATGCGGAAAAGTACGGAAAAAGTACGTGTCTGTCTCCAAAAAATTATCTTTTTTATTGGGGTAAAGCGGGTGTCTTTCATCATCTTGGATTGTTAAATAGCAGAACATAATCGGTATAGATCTTTCATGAAATGGGCAAATTTCGAGAGAAGAATGTTATTCATTTGTAAAATTTTTCAGCTAAATGAAAAGTATGTGTTTTATCATATTTTTACAACTGTTTCTTACAAATATAGAATATTTTTGTTTGATTCAAATTTTTTCCCCAACTTTGCCATATAAGGGGAGATAACTCACATAATGTTACTTTTGTAAAAGATTGTATTATGAATTTACCTGTCTTGTTTTGTAGCAAGAAAACGAGTACAGTGACTCCAAATTTTTCTATTTATTTTCTAAAGGCAGATTATAAGAGCTACCTTCTCATATTCTATCTTGAAAGTCTGTAGTTTAGTTTTCTTTTTTATCAAACAAAATTGGATTTTCGATGCATAATCTATACAAAATCTGACGGTTTTGCCCAACATGTAGCTTTAAAAGAAGCCCCATGACCCATACATTTTATTATATACTTCAAAGGTGAAAAGTCAGTAATTAAGAATAAGATTGGCAGTCGTTCATTAAGCTAGTCCAATGTGGTTTTATGGCTCTTTAGATTGAAAAAGAAAAGGCCCCATTTCTCTTTTATTTAATATTTCTTTTGGCTATTATTAACAATTAAATATATATTTCTGTCAGATTTCTGGCTTGATGGATCAGATGAGTCTGAAGAAGGTGTTTGGGTCTGG